ATGGTTGTATGCAATGAAGTAGTACATCATAGTATGATGTTTCAACTTTAGTATGCAGTATATCATCAATATAAATATAGATAAAGTTATATGTAAATAGGTAAATACGCTCTCGACTTCTATTGTATATGACTTTTTGACATGTAAGATTTTTAAATTCTAAACATAAAATAGTTTTGCTCTTAAAATAAAACAAAATTAATTCAATAAATATATACATCATATAAATCAATTGCTAAGAAAAAAATAGTAGTAGGAATGAAGGATAAGTTTACCCCCACGCGCTTTGGGGAGATATAGTAGATAAATTTTTGCAGGTATACAAGTCAATTTCGTTTGACATTTGTAGTTTCGGTTGCGTCACCTTTCTGGAAGGAAGATCTCATGTATATCTCACGAATAAGCCATTGTCTAGCATATTTTGATAACGTCATACATAATATGGAGATTTAATTTGCTGCAAGTTTCTATTATTCTTTTTTTACAATATAAATGTTCCGTCAATAGGTTTATATATGTGTATATAGTATTTGCTGTGACACATTTTGTATTAAACATATATATATATATATATATATATAGTTAAGGGGTTTGATTGTATCGTTTGAAATAATTAATTTTATCTCGCCTTTAACAATTGTACAGCAAATTTATGTTAATATACAGACCGCTTCACTATATATGTATGTATATAATACAGATATTAATTCAATGTGGGCCCACCGCATCAAAGATGAAACAATCACCACATGTGTAACGAAATCAGAAAATCCTTTAAAAAAATACACTAATTTCAAATTGTCGGAACTATTGTCAATATTTAGTTTACCCCTAATCTCAAATCTAATTAGATTGTAATAAAATTATATATATATATATATATATATATTTTTTTTTTTTGTAAAAGGAGAAAAAAGAAAATTCAAACATCAATAAGTTTTATGTGTCCATTAATGGTAACAGACACATATGTATGTGTGTGAATATATAGATCACAATATAAAATACAGGATCTGGAATTCTAATATTGTATCTGTTAAAAAGAAAATTTGTATTAAAAAAAAAAAACAAACAATTATTCCAGTCCAATTTTGATCCTATGGTATATCTCCATAACAAAAGCTGGTGGAGAAAAAATTGAGCCAATTTCAGATTTTAACAGGACACAAATTAGCGGAAGCATATGTTGTGTTGAACTGTGTTCTATTTGAGACAATCTTTAATCATTCCATTCTTCAAGCTGATGCCAATATTCAATATGAACTGAGTAAAATATACGTATATATATATTTGTGTGAGGGAGGACCAAAAACATTTAAACTACAACACCGGAATTGAATATTTATGTATATATTTACATATACATAAAACAATTGATTACGGGATTTTAAGTTACAATTTTGTGTATTTCTATCGGTCTAACACAATGTTTTTATTTCATATTAATAAATTTTTTTTTTTTGTTTTTGGCAACTTCGAGTGCCGGTATAAAAAAGAAGAACCGAGGAATCATCGCTACTTAACATTAGGGTTAGCTAGGCTATAATATTCTAAAATAATTTCGGGGTTTTCTTATCAATACATTTATAATTGGGATAACTCATATACTTCTTAATCAGTCCTTGTATCAGTTATAAACCTATTTAGTGCTATGCATCTGCAGATGGCAGGCTGGACAATTTACATGTCCCATCGTCGACATTTCGACGACGTCTGAACATGGGGTTGGGGTGTTAACTAATCATATAAAGTACAATATAACTGTACTCTAATGCCTATGTGGACTGGGGTGCCAGCTATTACTCTACATGCTAGTGTGCGTGGGTATGAAGGAGTGTAGGTGAGTACCAATGTTAAAAATATTTTCATCTCTATACAAAAAAAGCAAATATATTTTCAAGTTTGGTTTTTAGAACAGATCTAAAATTAATGGACACAATTTGTTATTTACACGAATCTATGCTAAAAACCAACTAAAAGGAACAAACGAAATGGTTAGAAGGAAATACAGATAACGAAAAGAAATGAATATCTGCATATAAATTTCCGTGCTATGTCTGTTTGTGTTGAAACTTACGAACGTACGTATGTATGTATTTTCCGTTTGTCGTTACTCAACCCACAATTGTGTGGTAAATGTGTGACATTTTAAATCTTTTACGACGTTAGGAACCACCACCGCCATCGCCACCAAGACCGTTGCCACCTGGATAAGGCCGAATGCTGCACCATTAGAAGATGTGTCGTCAGAGATGATAGCGCCACCGTAATCGTTCGGCTATAGCTTTGGGCTGAACATAATCCATCTGTCGCAGAGCTCCGGCTGCTTCGAGCAGCACCTTCGATGATATTGTTGTTGTCGACTTCATGAAGAACAGGAAAATTGATGTCAGGCGCTGTTTCTTCCGTCACAAACAGTCTCTTGTGTTTGCAGTGTTTCTGCTTTTTGTAAGTTTTCGTGATGTTGATGTTAAATCCCTCGAGGTATTCCGTGCTCTGTTCCCAAGGAAGATGGAAGAAGAGAGAGAGCAAAAAAGAGAGAAAAAACACAAATTTATGGTTAAATTAAATGGATGAAATGCAGTTCTACTTCAACGTTCTGATGCCATTCTCAGATGTAAGTTGTCGGTCTGTTACCTGTCTGTGATGAGTCTTGAGTTGGGTATTATTAGCAGATGCAGCGGTCATATTGACTGCAACAAAGAACCCATGAAAAAACCTTCCGACATTTTTATCACCTGCGCCAGAGGGAAAGTAAAGGAATGGCAAACAGAAGAATGCCAGAAAAAGAAATGACGTTTATTTCAAAAACATCTTTGGCATGTCTGATGTTACGTTTATGAGCGACAGCACCAGCACATCGTGCCACCTTTATATTGATATATCTAAATTGACAAAAGGAAATTCAACGTAACAGGAATTGTATGGTACCCGTGTATATTGGTAGGTTTTTGATCTGGTTAAAGCTCAAGAGATTGATTGAGGAATTTAGCTGCGGTGAAATGTCAAAAGTATCAAAATCATTTAATGCTTAAAGAAATGTGTTCATTTTTTAACTTTAAATTCCAAAGTAAGTTAATTTTGTTCAGAACCATTGGTTTATCAAGCATTTTCTAATCCAATAAAAATGTCGTTTTTTTGGTTCTGTACTTGTGGTCAAGAAATCAAAGTTTTTGTCATAGTTAGAGCTATGGATGTATGAAATAAAAAATGTCACATATATGATTTTCGAGGACGATGATTACAAATCTGTAAAAAATCAAAGAGATGGAGCCTCTGATTACAAAATGGAGTCAGATGTTGACAATTCAACAAAATTGATTAAATCCCCAATGCACCGAAAATTTTTCATAGTTTTTGGCACGGAAATTTTCTACCTAATGATAATCTACATATTTATTTACAACCAATTTGGTAGAAAGTGCCCAAAATATGGAAATTTGGGAGGTATTGTAATATGAGTGAACCAGTGTTGCTAATCTTTGGTAAGAAGATTTGCTACCCAAAATGAAACCATTCAAATTCAAATTATATTTACATATGGGCACTTCCGCAGTCACTTGCACGACTTTCAGAGGCAAAATCAAACTTAAAATGTTAAATAAATCAAAAAGAATTAAATTTTTTACAATTCTCTGTAAATACTTTTTTGAAGAAAGTTAGGAGTACTATCACTGGTAAAAAAATTTGAGTGCCGCCGGTTTCTATCTTTCGAGATAAAAGCCACAAAAGAGCGGTCACTCACGCGACTTGAAATATACATGACTTTAAACATCATTGCTAATAATGTGAGAACTCTGCGAATTGTGTGAATATTTTGAACTTTTAATATTCTTTACATGAATAACATATATCAAAAATTTTTATGGCACTTTCAAAATTTAAAAAAACAAATTGGCCTATCCTTTATTTGCAAAGAATTTTTCTCGGTCACTCACGTGACATTTTTGATTTTCCAGTTTTTATTTCGGCAGTGTCTGCATTTATAGTCTATAAATTAGTATTTATGCTATTTTTGCCTTTACTTTTAAAGAAACAAATTCTTCGAATTTGGTTTACCTCTTGCGGGAAATGCCCATATTATTTAATACTAGCTGACTCGCAAACGTTGCCTTAGCAGTATTGTTAAGGAATATTTTTCGACATTTTAGATTTGTTTTCCAAGTTCATACCTTAAGAAAATGTGGGTAAACTGTCCACAAACATTTTTGGTACAGATAAACTTTTTAAAAATTCTTCCACATATCGGTCAAGATCGATACATCGGATAATTCCTTGTTGTATAGAGTTTCGAGTTTTAGTTGGTTTTGAAACTACTGCGAAGAAAAAAATGTAGTAAGCACCTCGAATGAGAATACACTTTAAGATATCCACGATTATTGATGGTCAATGATAAAATCATCAATGACAAATCCGAGCTTATTGAAGACCCTTAACAAAATACTGCTTAAAAAATATTGTTCTGTTGGGTGTTTAAAATCCTTAACCCCGATGTACTTAGTAAACGTAAATTGGAACTGTAGCGTATACGTGTTGATACAACGTATACGTTGCAACATCCATAGAACCTAATTGTGCACGCATATCGGCTTACTTTTATAATTGGCTCTAATTTGAGTTTTCGGGTTCCCATGTGGTTTTAATGTGGACAATTTTTTTATTAAAGTCCTGGATTTGAAATAGCAGAGGATATAATGCTGTAACACAATCCCCACCGATTTAAGGAACTTTTAATGCGCACCATATGGTGGGGATATAAAAAGGGAACCATTGCGTTTTCAACACATTTGTATAATTACTATATATTACTTCAAATTTCAAAGGTTCATATGCAAATTTGTATTTGGATTTTAATTGATATGTGCCTCTGCGAAAGCCAATATGGCTTTCCGATTCTTTTCAGGAAATAATTGGCTTCCTTGACGGTTTCCGGGTATATAGACCTATTACGACAGCTTGGTTATGCTCTGTTCCTGAACTTATATCCCTCCCACCAATTCTGTTGAACTCTTAAATGAGTGTTTTTTACTTCTCTGGCAATCTGTTGATCAGTACGAACTGATGTTCTTCTGCAGCCTTCCTCAGTGATTGACTGTCTCTACTGATCTAGTTGCATAAATCCGAACAATAATAACCAACATGATATGTTTGTCTTTGTAAAAGTTATACAGCATGTATTATCTTTGCAAATTTGATGCATTATTTTTCTCCACCAGTGTATATCAACGATGTTGGTCAATATAAGAAAGATCGTAATTTTAAGATTTTTTTCTTTGTTCAATATTAAAACCTCCACATATTTTGCGCGAAAAAATATAAATATTTGATGGTGAACGGATTTGGAGTCACGGATTCGAACCTATGACCCAAAACTAATTGATGTAGTACGATAACAAAAATATATATATATTTTTTTTTTTGAAAATGGAAACATAAATTATGATCAATATTAATGTAAAAAACTAATTGATGTAGTACGATAACAAAAAAGTCATATTTTTTAAGATGAAAACTTAAAAAATGATCAATATTACTTAAATCCACGCACAAATTTTGAAGAACGCTTTTATAAGACCAAACGTCCTTGTATGGAGAGAAATGCGATAGAAAAAAGCTATATATCGGAACCGCCTAATTTCATGCGTTCTAAATGTTTAAGATGGATTTTCCAACAAAATGGCTGTAATTAAGCTTTCCAATACGTGATTTGCAGAATATTTTCAAAATAGTTCTTTGGTCCCTCTGCAGTTATTTATTTTCTACAGAAGATGTTGTTATTTAGCATTCCGGATTTATGGTTGTAGAGAATGTGTAATGTGAGGGAATGTTTTTATATGGCCTCCAACCATTTTTGGTATGTTGAATGTCCACCTCATTTTTGATGGATATATAAATAAATAAATGAGTCGGTAACTCGCTCTCGATTCAAATAGATATTACAGGCTTTTGTCTGTCAATTTTAATAAAATTTCATTTACAATACAATAGTTTACTTACGGGAACGACATGATTGCGTGCCCCCCAACATAAGGGCTTGAATGAGCCTTTTCTCGTAGCATCCTGAAACTCGTTGAATTGGTTTTGCCAGTCATACGATAACAATCTTGTTTCGAGTGTCATGCCAGCTAATTCCGGTGGAGCGGATATCAGCACGGGGTTGGAGTCCCTAGAAATAAATGCAAACTATATTAAAATATTTAAATATATATATATATATATATACTAGCAGACCCGGCAAACGTTGTTTTGCCTTATCAGAATTGCATCAATATAGGGTGAGTAAAAATAAACGCATTCATGGAAAATATATTTCAGAAACTATTTACAAAAAAATGTACGTCAAATTTCCACAATAAAAAACCAGTAAGGAAAGTAGTGAAGTCGTACTGGGCCAACTATATGATACCCTTCACCACTTTGGGTATATTCTAAATATGTCTCCTAACAGACTCCGCCTTTTCGAAAGAACTTTTACATGACATTGAACAAACTTGAATATGTGATCTGGAACCTATGCAAGATTAGAGTCGTTTGCGTATAATGGGGCAAATTTATGTAAATCGTTTTTATTTACATAAATTTAATCTCAATCAGATACCCTTTAGACTTAATTCCGTACGTAAATTATATATCTAAATCTGAACCGATTCTCACGAAACTTTGCACACATTATTGTAGACTTAATTTCATACGCTGTACCAAATTTCGTGCAAATCAAAAGATATATAGGGACTTTGGTACACCATTTACATAAAATCGGACGAATATATATAGGAGCTATATCTAAATCTGAACCGATTTTCCCCAAAATGAGCTTTACCAACTTTCATCCAAATCGGATTATAAATGCGACCTGCGCTTTTTTTACAATTTAACACCAACAGACGGAGCCGGAAATATAAATTCAGAAAGTGATTCTATGCATTTGGCAAAAGGAACCATGTGTCTATCACGTTTCCTTTTGCACAAAGACATAATACCCTGTACCACAGTGTGGTGGAGGGTATAAATATGCATAATATTTTCCTCATGACAGTACACAGAATATTATGTAATATTGTTATTGTTAAATATCAAATTATGTCAGTATGTGTCGTATTTCAGTTTATCAATTGATCGTACTTATTCCACCAAACATTTTTTAGGAGAAAGTCAAGTTTTGATCTAACTACTCTTATCTCAAATGATAATTATTATTCCTATTTTGATCACATTCGATTCATAAGTCATATAAAATGTGTGTTGCGCTCAATTACTCCAATCTCCGACTTTTTATGTTTTTCTCAAAATTTTCTTTGGAAAAAATTTTCCCACTGCAATTAAAAACAATCGAAGGAAAATGTGAGTCAAATTGGTGCAGCCGTTCTCAATGGAAACATTTTTCACATCATGAAAAATATATTTGAGGAACCATAAAGGCACATATAAGTTAGACACCTAGAGCATCTAATGTGCTTCCCGAATATAATTAAATTTTCAATAATACCTTCCATAGCTAGCTAAATTGTATTTGTAATGGACATTTTTGTATATCCTATGTATATATATCCTATGTATATGTATTGATCATAAAAACATTCCCACTTCAATTACAGACAACTAAAAGAAATTTTGAGTCTAATAGGTGCCACCGTTCTCAATTGATTAGTTACAATACATTTGTACATCATTTTTTATAAATAGATTTACATTAATTTTACTTCAATTTGATAAGTTATTTATTTCGTTTGACTCCCACGTGCTTTTCACGAAAACAGGTTATATATGAGTCGGTGTCGGAATACTTAACGTCGGCACACGCCGATTAAGCACCCAATATTTCATTGGGCAAAACACAAATAAACTGTACATCGCGCCATCTGTCGGACGAACTTGAAATTAAACACAAAAACACTACTCACGCCTTATAGAGCATATACGTAAAGTTTAGTGAAAAACCACAAAAAAACTAAATATTGCGCCATCTGTCGGATGAACTTCAAACTACACAGAAACACTCCTAACGCCCCATAGAGCATGTACATACAATTTGGTCCCAATCGCTGCAGTAGTTTTTGAGTTTAGCGATCACGAACATACATGTAATTTTTATATAGATATAGATATATATATATATGTTAACCTAATGTTACTGTTTCAATCAAATTTACATATTTATAATTTCATATTCTTTAATATTTTCCCATTTTGAATAGAATAAAGTCTCATAATATTGTGTCTTATGTAATTAATTTGTTTTTCGTGAATATTTTTTTTACATTCCCACGATCCAACTGGATATCTTTGTATACAAACATGAATGGATGTAAATCATTGCGGCACAACTGATATATTTTGCTGAAATGTTTCCTTAAAGCATTTTATTTCATTTTTATATTTACCAACCTGCTTTTAATGCTTGAATCGACCATAAAGTTGCTGCTTATTTGCTTTTCATTTAATTTCATAAATATTCGAGTTTGTGTACGAAGGACTACTTATGAATCTGAATTATTTTTACTTGATGCACTTTCATTTCAGTTGCCTTTCCTTTCCAGCACTGTAGTCCAACGACAACAACTTTTAACTATTATCCTCTATTATGCAATATTTTTATTGTTCTTTCAGTGGTTCCCATTCCTCCACCCAGCTTACAATGGAAATAGGAGAAAGTTAAGGGGTGTACCGTTTATACTTACGTTGCCAGCTGTTCTATGCCCAGTGAATGGAGCACCGTCGGTAGGCTAGGAAGGGAATGACAGGTTGTTAACTTATTTTGCCGCGGATAGTAAAGAGTCAATACAATGCAGCTTTCCTCCTTCATCGTCAGGCCACCTATAAAACACACAAAATAATATAAAGCCAGGCAAAAGGATACAAATCAAATAGTTGCGAAGGGGGATAAGTTTTATTACGGAAACCTAGTTAACACACAGACCGAAATAGGACCTCGCAGTCGAGTTACTTTTATATAGACTATGACTAACTCTCCAAACTAACAGGAATTCCAACTGAAAATTAAATTAGTCGGATCTTAATACTATTATTATAGGGTCCGATATGTTCTGATAATATATTTTTTGAAAACATTGATTATATAAATACTTTACATCCCCTTTATTTAATCAATTAATTTATCGATTTTTTTGTGTAATTTATAGAAAATATTTTTAAAAAATATGAGTGCCGTGCAAAAATTTATGAAAAAGGACATAGATGACAAAGCTGAGATTTTTATATACTTGAAGCCAATTTGGTGAAAATGGTAAGGATTTAAAACCACAAGGGTAATGTGGAAACATTTTCAAGACTTTCATGTCCGCAAGACAAAAAGAAAGAATAGAATACTACCGAAAACTGCTGAATTTTAAAATCTCCGTTTCGGTTTCGGAGATTTTAATATTGTTGATATGTGTGTTTCAACAATACTGCAGTGGTGGTTGTAGATGCTTTGCCAGACAATTAAAGATAGCTGTTGACACACCAAATGAATTCCTAAGAATATACTTTTTTAAATCTCGATTGTTTGAAATCGGAGAAAAAAATTGAATGAAAGCTAAGTACAACTATTGTTATTACCTAAATTTAATTTCTTATTGTAAAAACACTTTATAAAAATGGACACAAGGTTAAAGATTTCCGATTGAATTTATTTGTAGAATGGAACTCAAGTTCTAGTGATTATAATGAATCTTCTTTGAGTGCTGCAGAAAAATCATTTTATATCAGTTCTGAGTAGGAATGGGCCATAGAAAGTGATGCATCTTCTCATATGGGATATAATGATTAGTTTTCTGTTGACCTGGACATAAAAAATGTGATGGAGTAGTGATTGATAATAAAGGAATTGATATCAAAGTAGAATAGAATATACATTTAAATAATGTGTTATAAGTACAAGAGTCTTTAAATACATGGTTGAGATCGCATCGATAATGTAACCATCGTGTACTGTAATTGATTTTGTTTCGATTTTCATTGAAAATAGAAGTTTCGTTTCAGTATTTTTACTGGTGTGTCTACAATGACATATTTAGGTGTGATAAAACATGTACGTAGGTAACGTACAATATTTCGATAGAAATGCATTTGATTAGTTAATTTAATTGATTTCACGTACTTCACAAACCGAAACCCATATAATTTAAATCAAATCCTGATTTACAATCTATGCTCTAATACATATTTGAGCTTTTTGATGCTGATGAAAAAAATGCAATACATACATTTGATTAAACTCTTGCTGAACTTACTTACCTAAGGTTATTGCTTTACGTGACGAACTATCATAAATGCATTCAGCTACTAGTCTGTCGCCTGGCATTGCTTGGACGGGTGTTGACAGTCGTCGGAAGTCCTGATAGGCGACGTCTACATTGCTGTCGTGCGCAATTGGCGGCAACTCCTCATATTGTCGAATCTATAATATGTATTTAGGCTCCTTATTAGAAATGTATTCAGACTCTGAATATTCAATGAGGAAACATGACATGCAACTCATCACAAACTCCTCGGTGAACGAAAGTGTGCATACATGTATGTGTATAATTTATGGTTTGTTTATTTTTTTCCTAGGTAAACAATTGCACACAAGTTGCATTGTGCAATGTTTCCTGTGCTGTTAACAGGCATATATGCACAAATGACAATAAATACAAATTATAGAGAGGTTTTATTGACAAATCCACATCCAGAGAAATGAAACACATATAGGGCACTACAAGTGATGGGCCTTTGATATTTGTCGAATACACTACAGACCGGGCATGCCTCTTCAGCGAGGACCGTAAAATGCGACGCAATGTGTAAAAATGCTAAAGGCCAATTAGATTCTAAATCAGGCACTATAAATTCCATTTGTGGTAATCCAAAATGCACCTCGAATGTTTCCGATTTTTATTAGGGTTTAAAATGTCGAAGACGTGTGTAATGAACATGAACATTACATGTTTTAAATATATGTGTATATAAATGGCATTGTTCCATTTGTGTTTATACTAACCAAAGTTTTTCGTACCAAAATGCATTGGTAATAATGATAAGTGCCGTTATATATATATATATATATATATATTCTACATTATAAAGTTCGTTTAGGGAGTTAATCGATATGTTCACTGAGCGGCAAATATGTGTGCTGGTTTGTACATACGTACCTGGCGAAGTTTCACTTCCTTTCCAATTAGATGGGTGCGCATCATTACCGCAAATATACGAATACCCTCCGCCGGAAAAGCGTATGCAGTGCAGTCCTCCATACATTGTCCCTCTGATACGACTTGGTTTTGTCCTGGAGGTATTATGTGTCGCCAGTTAGGATCCATGCCTTTTGATTACGAAAAATTGCAATAATAGAAAAGTTTTTGAGTTACTTTTACTTATTCTAATTTCAAATAACAGACATTAGTTCCGTTCCAGAACCTAAAAGAATCTACTCATTTTACATGTTTTGTAACTTTTTACTCGAAACCCGTTCCTCAACCCTCAAAACTTGTAAAACATTGAAACAAATTTAAGAGAGCACTAAACAAAATAGCGTTCTCTTTGTAAACTTTTTACTCGAGAAATTTGACCGAGTAAAAATGGTAAACAGGAATGCCTACTTCTGATTGGCTGTTATGTTGATTTTGAAGTATTACCATCTAATTTTGGCATATTTACTAGATTTGCGTTCCCGAACTTTTCAAATTATTTTGTACTCTGAGAGCAATTTTGAAATGTTTCCCTTTTACTAGATTTACTATTCAAAAAGTACTGGAACAGACCAATTACTATTATCGATTTTGTGAAAAAAAAATCAAACAGTATTTGGGAATATTTTATCTGTCCCAGAACTACAAGAATTTACTAATTTGAACTTTTTGTTATAATTTCTTCTAACTCCGCGTTTTGGACATATTTTCCAACCGAATTGTCTCCTGGTATATCACATCTCCGTACCAAAAATTAAATTAATATTGAACCAAATTTCAAGGTATCCACCATATAACGATACTTCCCAACACTCTGTATTTTGGGAATTTTCTACAGGTTTTCCAATCGAATTAACCGTAATTTGATATTTTGGGTTCTCATCACATCCACTAAAAATTTATTAATGTTGACCCAAGTCGGTATATTGAGCATTTTGGACATGTTTTTCAACCGAATTGGCTGCAATTTGGTATTTTGTATCCACATTGGCTGTCAAATCTCATTACCAAAAATAGCAATATTTATTATAGCGCCATATAACGGTAGCTCCACTATTAAAAATTTTGAGAAATTCAAGGTGCAAGGTCCAATCATAACATGCGTTTTCTCCTAGGAGAATCCGTTAATTTTAGATTGTCATAAAAAGTTCATTTTTATTTGTTTTCTGACTAATTAATTGACTAAGAATTTGTTTTTTAATCTCTTAACACTCCTACGATCCATTAATGTTTCGATGAATACTAAATTTCCAACACCAACAGCATTTATTTATTTATAAACTCCACCATATTTTACTTTACCAGACATTTTAATGGGATCGACTTTGGAATTGTTTTTATACTCTCCACCATAGTATGGAGGGTATATTAATTTGATCACTCCGTTTGTAACTCATCGAAATATTCATTTCCGACCCTAAAGCGTTATTCAACAGAATTCGCTGAAATTTTGTATATGTATTGGGTTCTTTTTGGATACAAATTTCTCCAATGTTAGTCAATTTGTTTTCAACCAAATTTGCTGTAATTTGGTATTTTGTAGACGTATTTGGTAAAAAAAAACCTCCCTTAAGAATATTAATACTCGCCCCCTTTTAGGGGTAGTCCTCATAAAACCTTTTTATATTAAAATCGTTAACTGATATGTTCCGTGTGTTGGGGTTATCCTCATATAGACATATTCCGCGGTAGTAAGGGGGTATTCTTTACTCCAATTTGTTCAGTTAATACACTACGACGTATATAATTCAAATGTTGCCATCTGTTGTAATAATTCTTCGAGAGGATATCGAGATAAAAAACTCAAATATGATGAGAATGAAATATATCGGCCCACGCTTAGGTCTGGCCCCCACATATATGATAACTCCCGATTTCGGTAGTTTCTAATGAAAACACCAAATATTCGCTTATTCCTACACAATATTGGTTCCGCTTTAGTTATAGCCTTATATAGATTTGCTCTCAACATTGCAGTATTTTGAGGATTTTATACATTTGCTCCACCCTACCATGTGATATCAATATTGGCCCTCATTTTGGGGTTTTGAGATTTTATGAAAAATCCTCATTAAAAATTACTGAAATTTGTATTTGGTGTACATTATTGGTCTGTTCCCGTACTGCAAGAATCTACTACTTTTTACTACGATAACGAATTTTCCTTTACGATATCGAAGAAAATAGTACAATCTAGTAGATTCTTGCAATACGGGAACAGACCATATGGTTTACATAAATCGGTTTGTATAAATGTCGGTATAGGGCCATTTTTTGGTATGTTCCCTATATTTTCATTTCAAGTAAAATATAGGGAAATTGTTGATCATAGTTCTTATGATTATTCGCATAATTTATTGTGTCACGACAGCAAAGCACTAAATCTCTGAACAGAAAATGATTCTACGGTCAGGGACTCAAAATTACACGACTTATAAATAATATTCATAATATATCTAACAAATTACTACACATAAAATAAATAATTTTTAAACTAAATAATCTAGGACTTTGATCTTAGAATTGGAATTTCCTAAATGTACATGAACTCGATTCAGAATTTCGTCTGTTTTTCCATCCTTGCATTTGTCCCAAAATGTATGTGCATTCTATGGAAAACGTGAGTATACATTGTATACTTCTAAATTATACATATATGGAAAATATTTGCAAATCAAAAAAAGTTTTCTGCACTCCAGCATTCATTTACTACCACATAGAAAAATGCATCATTTAATTAATTGACTTTCAATCAACGCGTAAAACAAATCTTGTCTGGTGCATGGATTGTTTGTTTGTTTAGCCATAGGCAAATTCATTATCTAATGGAGAATTACTTACCTATTGAGAGCACTCCAGCATCATGTGGACGAAGAATGTGAGTGAAGTAGATTTTTAAGCCGGAGTTGTCTGCCATCTGTCGGGTAGGTAGTTGGGTTACATCTGGCTGTAAATTATTGTAATGTGTCTCCATTAGATAATACTTTGCTTGGCGAGACTCCATCGGATAACCAGTTTCGTCTGGAAATGTAAAGCTCTGAAAATATGAATTGGAATTGAAATAAAAATGGGAACATTATTGGAATTGTATAATTATACAATACAAGAAATAATTAAGAAAGGGGCGTTTGAATGTCCTCAAGTATGAAAATAGCATTTCATATTCAGATAAGAGGAATTCGTGAGCAGGAAAGTGATTCTAAATTTAAATAGATGCATCTGATGATTTAATTAGAATGTTAGAAACAAAACAAAATTTCCACAGCATGACGTTGGATAGAACAGCGATGTAAATTATTATATTTGTGTTAATTATTTAGTTTGGGTAATTTGAAATAATGCATTTTTGTTTTGGAATAGCCATTTTCTTTGAGAATAGCAAATATGTAAATTAGTACTTACATTAGAACCCCGCGACCATGAAGCAACAATTGCATTACATGCTAGTGGAATATCTCGGGCACCCATACATTGTCTTCCCTGTTCGCGCGCCATTTCTTCCAGTTCCTCGTGTATTCCATGACATTCTCGCAGTGTGATGTGTTGCAAGTAATGTACACTAGACGGTGAGTCGTATATCGGTTCGTACTTTCAGCCAACAGCATAATTTAAGACAATAAAATAGAATAGACATTTTTGAAAATTACTTTACCGCCATTGCAGAAATCACTGCACAATATCCTTACTCAGCAGGATTTTGGCATAATTGAAACCACAAATGAGTGTCATAATGGGGGACATGTAATGAGTATGTCTAACAACATTACAAATTGCCATGGTGCTTACCCTAATTAGGTGATGTTTATGCTTCATGTCATCTAGCTTGAACATTTTGCACCAAATCAGTGTATCATCAGCCCCTGGTAGTTCAACATCTTCATTGCGTAGTTCCAGGATTCGTACATGGTCCTGGTGCTTATATTGTGAAAAAGGTCGCTGTGTCAATAACATTGGTCTGTAGGGACGAAATGACGACGCTGGATCAGGCAGTCTACCAGGTTTTACAGATCCATGAAGTGGGTCTTGTTCGTTGTACATAAATAATATGCGCATGGTATCATTCTGAAATAGGCATATACATATATATATATAGGTAATTAGAAATTAATTTTAAAATATTAGACGTGTGTTGTGTTGATAATTTTCTGAATATCAGTTGAAAGTTTGTAGCATAAATTTACAATAAAATATTGAAACTCAAATATTAGGATACACAATTATATTTATTCTGTATAATACTAATTTGTGAAAATTTACTTTGCAGATTACCTGAGATGTATCTATCCGAAACTATACTCTTTTCCGCCTTCCTCTTGGCGGAAAATACCACTTTCTTCACTAATAAAAGTTTTTATAAAAATAACAAGCTGGGATTAAGCCTGAATATGTTGCAACAACAAATCGAAAATGGTATCCCAAATAGCCCGCTAACACTACTGAAAAATACCAATTTTCAAAGTTATTACATTAAATGTTTATAACGTGCACAACTATGTTGCTAGAATATTATAAATTTGTGTGACTCCAATGGCCTATAACGCCACAAAATATTGGACCTAACCTATCTTTAAGCATATATATTTTTCATAATGTTCCGTTTGTGGTCGCTTGTTAATATTTTTTGATTATTTGAACACCATGTTCACATTACTGTTCGTATAATCGTATAGGATATGTTTGTTTTGATGTATCAAATTTAATTGTATCCTTCAATCAGTAACCTGCTGCTATTTTGTTAACAATTATTATAATTCCTCTTTAGGAATTTTATCATAAATGACGTTGTGTAGGTTAGCCCAACAGCCATATTTTTTCTGGAATTTTTTCATAATTATGCTATTAATATAATGAAAGGTTTCGCTGACGCACAAGAAATATTTTTGGCCAACTTATGGTTTGGAACAATTTTAATTAGACACTGTAACGTTGCCAGGAATACATGAGTGATACCAACAACATATTCTTCTTTCATAAAATTCATTAAATTACTTTTCACCAAGGAAGTCGTTATGAAATCAGCACTTTCACTTTGAGCATTCCACCTCCGTTATATGTATTGGCAATAATTATTTTACCGTGGAAGGGGTGAGTCAGAATTTTCTGGTCTATGTTACGTTATAGATCAAATACTTCGCAGAAAGTAGAAAATATTAAGGAAAACTGATAAATTGTATCTTTAGTATAATATAAATAACTTTCTGTGGGTAAGTACACGTATAGCCTAAAGGTAAAACGTAGTAAGATGTCAGAGTTTGTTTCAAAAATATCAAATATCCCAAGGCAAATTCGCTACAAAAATAAATGTGATAACGAGAGGGGGAATAAAACGTTTGGGAAGAGTTTTACCACTATCTGAACATATTCGTGCTTAACTGTTTAAGGAGACTGTAGATAAATTGATAGCTATAAGTGCACGAAACGTAAAATGTTGTAATTATGTTTAACACGATATTTACACGTTCAAAATTTTTTGGAATGAAGTTATGAATTATGGATTCGAATCACCAGAAATTTCAGGACAGATTTTAAATCAATAATGAAGAAAATGTTAAAACGAAGCTATTCTACACCTGGAAATTTTAATAGAAGTAGTAATGGGTAAATCATGTGTACAATTGCTGTTGCGGACAGTTGACGCGTGACTGGTCAAATGAATCCTAATTCAATCGTTTTCAATACGACGATAAATATTAAACCTGTAAAAAAGCCGTTAAGATCGGCCCAGCTTTTTATACCATGAGGTGGACATTTAAAATACCAATAATCCATCGGGACTTTCAGAAATGGCAGGCTATGTCATGGTACATTTTATATTAAATTTGTCATTCCGTTTTCAACACCTCCAAATATTCACCGGACCGCATAATGTATAATATATCTATATATATAAAAATGGAGCAAGAAAAATGTATACTAACACATCAATTGAGAACGGCTGGACCGATTTGACTCAAAATTTCTTTCAGTTGTCGGTAATTACAGTGGGAAGGTTTTTATAAAATAAAATTTTAAGAAAGATCCGCGAAAATCTTGCAAAAATTATTATAAATAAACGGCTGGACCGATTTGACTTAAAGTTTCTGTTAGTAGTCTGTAATTAAAGTGGAAAGGTTTTAATGAATAAACATTTTGAGAAAAATCCGCGAAAAGGCTGAAAAAAATATTTTGAAATTATTTAGCATTTCCACACATTTTATACCGAACCATTATGGTTTCATCTCTTTGTAGTTCTTTTTGGACATATTTTGGGATCTTTAAGTAATTGTCAATTATGGAAAATCAAAATATATTATTTTTCTACAATTTATTGGATTGGCATTGCCTTGAAAAAAACTATTGTATATGAAAATAAATTTATATTTTCATTAGAGCCAAATTTAATAATAAGAACTCGAAAAGAGAGAGTAAGGTTAATTGTTATCATTATTTGCCCACGTTTTCCAAAAAAAAAAAAAACAGTAAAGAAAGTAGTAAAGTCGGACTGGGCCGACTATATGATACCCTTCACCACTTTAGGTATATTTTACATATGTATCCGAAAAGTCGTCGCCTTTTTGAAGGAATTTTGACATGAAATTGAACGAACATAAATATGTGATTTTTATGTCTTTCTGGAACCTATGCTAAATTTCATTTCATTTGGGCAAGTTTAGAGTCGATTGCGCACAGTGGGACAGATTTGTGTAAATCGATTTAAAGCAAACTTGACACACGCTATTCGCTATGCTGCACTGTTTAAAATTTAATCTGAATCAGACACTATATATAGGAGCTATATCTAAATCTAAACCTATTTTCACAAAACCTAGCTCACGTCATTCTAGACTTAATTCAATATGCCAAAATTCATGCAAATCAAATGGTTTTCAGGGACTTTGGTGCACCATTTACCTAAAATCGGGCGAAACTATATATGGGAGCTATATATAAATCTGAACCGATTTTCACAAAACTTAGCAAAAATCATTCTAGACTTAATTTAGTACGCTATACCAAAATTCATGGCAATCAAAGGATTAGCAGGGACTTTGGTGCACCATTTACCTAAAATCGGACGAAACTATATATGGAAGCTATATCTAAATCTGAACCGATTTTCTCGAAACTTAGGTCACGTCATTCTAGACTTAATTCAATACTCTATACCAAATTTTGTGCAAATCGAAAGATATGTAGGGACTTTGGTACACCATTTACCTAAAATCGGGCGAAACTATATATGGGAGCTATATCTAAATCTGAACCGATTTTCTCGAAACTTAGGTCACGTCATTCTAGACTTAATTCAATACGCTATGCCAAAATTCATGCAAATCCAATGGTTTTCAGGGACTTTGGTGCACCATTTACCTAAAATCGGACAAAACTATATATGGGAGCTTATCTAAATCTGAACCGATTTTCACGAAAGTTAGCACACATCATTCTAGACCTAATTCAGTAGGCTATACCAAATTTCGTGCAAATCGAAAGATATATAGGGACATTGGTACCCCGTTTACATTAAATCGGACGAAAATATATATGGGAGCTATATCTAAATCTGAACCGATTTTCTCCAATTTCAATAGGGTTCGTCCTTGGGCCAAATAAGTAACATGTGCCAAATTTCATCCAGATCGGATCATAAATGCGACCTGTACTTTGTTCACAAAAATACATGGACGGACAGACGGACGGACGGACAGACGGACATGCATAAATCGACTCAGAAAGTGATTCTATGCATATTATCAAAAGGAACCATGGGTCTACCTTGATTATTTTTGCCTGTTACAAACATATGCACAAAGACATAATACCCTGTACCACAGTGTGGTGAAGGGTATAAAAACAGATTTGTTTAGTTTGAAAATATAAGTTATGTTATGTGAAGCAATTTACATGGTATGTATAGGTTGTGAAATTTTTCTCAAATAAAACACAGTAAGACATGGTAAAGTTAAGATTAAGCGGTTCCATTATGTGGAGTCTATACCAAAAACTATACTGGCAATTATGAGGCATGTTTCTTACCCTATGCGGCATACCGAATTAAAGGTAATCTATATACATATATAACCAGTAAGGAAAGTAGTAAAGTCGGACGGGGCCGACTATATGATACCCTTCACCACTTTGAGTATATTCAACAGATGAATCCTAACAGAAGTCGCATTTTTAAAGGACCAGTAAAATGAAATTGGAACCATAAACACGTCAATCTGCAACCGATACTAAATTGTTCATTTGGTCAGATATAGAAGCTATATCTAAATCTGAACCGATTTCAGGAAACTTAACACACATCATTCTAGACCTAATTTGTTACGCTGTGCCAAATTTCGTGCAAATCGAAAGATATATAGGGACTTTGGTGCACCAGTTACATTAAATCTGACGAAAGTATATGTGGGAGCTATATATAAATCTGAACCGATTTTCAGGAAACTTTACACACGTCATTCTAGACCTAATTTGCTACGCTGTGCCAAATTTCGTGCTTAAATCGACTCAAAATTCTATGCATATTCTCAAAAGGAACCATGGGTCTATCTCGATTATTTTTGCATGTTACAAACATATGCACAAAAACATAATACCCTGTACCAGAAAAAAGAATTTGGTTCAAGAACCTCAAAACCTGGGGGCTACCAGAAAAAATTGACCAATATTTATAATTTATAGTGGAGAGATGTGCTACCTAATAAGAACTCGACGTACTAAATTACAGTCAATTTGGTCGAAAAATACCAAAAATTTTGGGGTACCGTTATATGGATACTACCAGAAAAACTGGACCTATATTTATAATTTTTAGTGGAGTAATTTGGTACCCAATAAGAACCCAATGTACAAAATTGCAGCGAATTCAGTTATAAAACGAGCCCAAAAACCCGAAAATACCGAAAATTTGGGGGTACCCTTATATGGGGGCTATGCGAAAAAATGGACCGTTATTTATAATTTTTGGTAGGGAGATTTGCTACCCAATAAGAACACAAAGTACCAAATTTCAGCGAATTCGGTCGGAAAATGCGATCAAAACCCCCAAAATACCGAAAATTGGGGGTAATCTTATA